CGTTGCTTTATCCTGTAGAAGACTATAATCCATAAATCCTTCAGTACAAGACTCTCCATTAGCCTCCAGTAATATTCCATTGATCATGAAGCACAGCAGTATTACTACATTTAATAGAGACATTTCTTCTTGCTATATGTAATTTCAACATTTGCTCTATGAACCACGCCCATCCTAGAATCTAGAGTAATTAATCAATAATCGGACTAATCAAACTTCGGACAGTTATATTTTGAAAACTAAACATGATTTTCCAGTGATTTTTGCACTAGATATAGATCATCACAATATCTGTTAGCATGGTAAAAATCAAAGCATTACCTTCTTTCTTTGTAAAGATATAATTTGCTAAACACACTTCGTAGATTCACACAATAATCGGCCGTGTTAACTCAATTTTCGTCACTTAGCCACAACGAAGCAAGCTTTGTTCCAAGAATAGTTTTGTACCACCAGAACTTTAGTACTGACTGTCTTCTTCAAATACCACTGTAAACATCTTGGTCATCTTTGCTTACTGTTCAGGTATTATACCTTTTTAGTTAATTATCATTATCGGTCACACCCATCTTCATTAATTGCTGCAACAAAGCACGAGGCTCCTTGTTTGTATTTTTGTTTGGACTCATTGAATCTCTCAGCTGCCTTTTCTTATCATAAATACTACCTCTATTGAATGTAAGTCATTATAAAAACAAAATTTGTTTGTATAGCATGCAGTTTGTTTTCAAAGCTGCTCTATCATGTGTAGCCATAGTGCATGCAAGGTGCAAATTGCTCAGGCTTTAGTTCTGTAAAATAAAGATACATCAATCTAGCACCAAGCCTTTTCCCCATGTTTACATGTCATTGGTATGATAATCAATTTTTTATGCTAATGTCTTTTTTAGATGGCGACACGCCCATGTACATACTCTACATGGCCTGAAATAAGCATGACGAATGCTATCAAAGCAGTTGAAGAAGAGGGGTTGACAGTTAGATTTGCAGCGGAGCTATATGGCATTCCCAAATCAACACTTTATGACGGGATCAGGGGAAATGTTCAACATGGAACTAAACCTGGCCCAGTGCCGTATCTTACAAAAGAAGAAGAGGTTATTTTGGCTAAGTTTTTAATCAAATGTTCTCAGATTGGATTTCCCTGCACAGTTTCAGAAGTTCTTGCACTAGTAAGACAAACGATTCAGTCAAAGGGTTTAAGTGACGTCTCAATTTCTTATGGATGGTGGCAGAAATTTTGTAGCAGGCACAGTGAATTATCACTTCGTACTGCTGTGCCTTTAAGTCTTTCAAGAGCCATGGCCACTGATAATAGTGTCATACAAAAGTATTTTGATATACTTGAAGATACACTTAAAGAAAATTCTCTATTCAACAATCCAACTCGCATATTCAACTGTGATGAAACAGGACTCCCATTGAATCCTAAATCTTTGAAAGTTGTGAGTGGTCGTGGAGCTAAGAATGTCAGTCAAATCACTGGAGAAGGGAAGTCTCAAATCACAGTTCTGGCATGCACTTGTGCAGCTGGAGTACCGTTGCCTCCATTTGTAATATTTGATCGTAAGACCTTTAATGATCAGCTAATGGTAGGAGAAATACCAGGTACACTTTATGGCTCATCTCCAAATGGATGGATCAGTAGAGAGCTGTTTTTGTACTGGTTTCGTAAGCTGTTTTTAACGAGTGTTCCTAGGGTACGTCCTCTCCTTCTCCTGATGGATGGTCATTCTACTCATTATGGTCCTGACCTTATCAAGATAGCAGCTGAAGAGCAAATTTTAATATTTGTATTGCCACCCAATACCACTCATTTAACACAGCCACTTGACAAAAGGTGTTTTGGGCCATTAAAAACTGCTTGGAAGGCTGTGTGTCATGAGTTCTGCACTAAAAACCCTGGTCGTGTGGTAACCAGATACGATTTCTCTGTATTATTTGCTGATGCATGGAGAAGGTCAATGACACAGAGAAACATTGCAAGTGGCTTTGAAGTAACCGGCATATGTCCTTTCAACAGAAATGCTATTAAAACTGGCAATGACAAGCAAGAAACCATCAGCCGTTCACTGTTAGACCAGACTGGTCTAGCATACATACCGCTCTATAGTCCAGACATAAAGAGAACGAGGGATCATGATTCTTCATTCAATTCTAGTCTCTTGGAGAGATCACTTTCAGAGAATGATTTATCGCAAGCTGTCACTCCAATGCGAAGAGTAATGCCTATAGAGTCTTTTCTGAAAACTCCTAGTCATCCCAGTAGCAAGTCCACCCTGAAGCCTAAATCATGCGGAAGAGTATTGACTAGTGTTGAATTCATGACATGTATAGAGGAAAAGGAAAGAATGAAGCAGGAAGCCTTGAAGGAGAAGGAGCGTAAAAGAATTGCTAGACTTGAGAACCAGAAGGAAGCTAATAGAGTAAAAGAGTTGAAGAGAAGTGCAAGTAATATATCTTATGTGAAAAATTAT